ACCCTGAATTCAAAAATGTATGTACTCATCACATCACTAGGGGGCCCTAGTTTAAAAATCATGTAAAGTATATAATTATTTAAGTGTTCATCCTTAGCTATAATTTATAGCTGAATTTGGGACAGATTGCCAGAGATAATCGTGACAGAACCAATTCTCAGTCAGTATTGAATCTTACTTCAAAAGAAGGAAGAGAAGAAGACTAGATGAATCATTTTCAAATACAAATCAGAAACTGCAATATTCTTACTTCAGATATGCTGGAGCTATATACTAAATGAGAACTAATATTTTACTGGAAAAAAATTTATTAAAAACCATATTTGTAAAACTTTGAATTTTAGTCGTATTGTTGAGAAGTGTTAAATGACTTTTTATAAGAGCTAGAATTGCCTTAGAAGTTGGGGGAACTGAACAATATCCAAGTTTTACAATGTCAAAAATCTCTATTGATTCAAAATTTTACAGCACAATGGTCGTTCTTCAATCTGCTCCAAAATCCAGACTATGACTTCTGTTTAAATGTGTTGTTTTGATTTAAAAGAGAGAGAAGACTGGGCACAGTGGCTCACACCTATAATCCCAGCACTTTGGGAGACCAGCTTAGCTAACAAGGTGAAAATATAAAAATACTCTACTAAAAATATAAATATTAGCCGGGCATGGTGGCATGGACCTGTAATCCCAGTTACTTGGGCGGCTGAGGCAGGAGAATCACTTGAATCTGGGAGGTGAAGGTTGCAGTGAGCTGACACTGAGCCACTGCCTTCCAGCCTGAGTGACAGAGACCCTGTCTCAAACAAAATAAAAATAAAAGAGAGAGAAGAAGGGGGAAATAAAAGAATATAGACTTGTTTAGGATCAAAAGCCAGTGTGGAATAAGCTGAAAAGTGAGTTAGAATAGTTACTAGGGAGATAGAGGGTCTGCTGACTCTGGTAATTGAGTAAAAAGACTGAGAAAACACTCAGTAAACTGATGGGGATCTCTCCTAGATGGCTCTCCTTTTAAGAGGGAGAGCAGTTGTGCCTGTAATCCCAGCACTTTGGGAGGCCAAGGCACATGGATGGATTGGGCTTAGTTAGGAGTTTCAGACTAGTCTGGGCAGCAAGGCAAACCCTGCTTCTAAAAGAATACAAAAATTAGCCAGGTGTGGTGGTGTGTGCCTGTAGCCCCAACTACTTGAGGGGATGAGATGGGAGGATCACTTGAGCTGTGAGGTCAAGGCTGTAGTGAGCCATGTTTACACCACTGAACTCCAAGCTGGGCAACAGAGTGAAACCCTGTCTCAAATGGAAAAGAAAGAAAAAAGAAAAGAAAAGGAGAGAAAAGAAATGAAAAGAAAAGGGAAAATTCAGTCCTATCAGGGATCCGGTAGAAAAATCATACAGGTGGTGTACATTAAGATCATTAAGATTTAGTCATGACCTCCCTGCTCACTGTGCTAAGTTACATGGAGAAACTTTTTTGTCCAAAGCAAAAGAAACTGGAGAGAGAGAGGTGAACACAAGCTATCAAGAGACTCATAATAGTCAACAGTTAAAACCTGAAAGCTTGTTATTAAAAAAAGGTTGCAGGGCTTTGTGTGTTTATTTGGAGATTATCTAAAATTCTGGCTTATTTTAATAATATGGTTCATTTCAATTAAATAGTCACCTACCATTTAAAATGCAGGTGAGGTCTTAGGAGTTTACATCTATCAACACTGGCCAGACTAGAAATCAAGAGAACCAGGAGAAGACTATAGGTAGATTAATTAGTAAATATTAAAAGTTTAGAAGGAAAAAGACACATACCTGGTAGCAAATCCTACTCTAAATGGGAATTGGGGGGAGTATGTGTGTGTATATATATATATACATATATGTGTGTGTGTATGTATATATATATGTGTATCAGCAATCCATAAGCATTAATTTTAATAGAAACTAACATTTTTAACAGAGAAAATCTATGTGGAACTATGGCTGTAACCAAACACTCAGTTTAAGGCCAATGAGAAAACTTCATACTTGGCTGATGAAGTCATAACCCAGGAAATCTTTTAACTTTAGCTGCCTACTAAACATATAGATGTAATAAAGGAAAAAAATAAAAATAAACAGCTGTCAGACTTCTTGCAAATGCCAACATATAACATGACAATGTTTTAGAGCACCCCACTAAGAAGTTCTGGATCACTACTTTCTGTTCCATTTAGATAATTTCAGTATGCATGTCTGATATCAGAGTGTAAATGCTAGTGCAGTCCTTGGGCCAAGATCTCACTATATTAAGAAATAGTGCTAGGCTACAAAAGTTGATTGCAGATTTCTTGCATTTCTTCTTGGAGATGGTGATAGCATTATCATCTTCAAATCCCTGTGGAGCTCTCCCTGTTTCCTTATGCTGAAAACAACAACTTCCTTGATTGGAAAAAAAACCCAGCAGATATGCTATCATTCTACATGGTGTAGCACAGGGTAGTTCTTCTTCAAAGATGAATCTGAGATCACACCTTTAGTATGTATGTAATACATTTTGGTGCATTACTGTAAGGTTTTTTCTGTTCTGTAATATTAGAGATGTCACCAATCTAGTGGTTAGGTGTTGGCCCCTAATTTCCCTTTGGTACTGCAGAAAAATCCTGGGTAAATTAAACTCCATCTCTGTTTCACTCTTTTAGTTCTGACACTGGTAATTATGTAGTTACACCGTAAGTTTATTTTAAGAGTACCTGCAAGGTTACAGTTTTTTCCCCTTCTAAAGTTACTCCAAGATCGCTGGGCCACATTTAACATAGGGCAGCTTTGAAAAGACAACAGCTGCCAGCTGGTGGTCATTTTGAAAGCCTTCGAATTCATTGTTTGCCATGATATTCACAGTTGTAAGCCCTTGACTTGAGAGAACTACTATAATTATACTATAAGACACAACAATGTTTAGAGAAGAGATAGATTCTGAATCTTAAAAGTTTTTTCCTATAACACTGAAATGTTTAAAGTAGGAAAATATAAGAAAGAAAAAAGAAAAGTTTTTTCCTCCAGTGAGTTACATGCACGAAACCACATTTACATGGTGAAGGCTAAAGAAACTTTAAATTGTTGTTAGAATGTGACTAGAGACAAATCTCAATCCTTTGGAGCCTTGTTTATTATCATCATTGTTATTACTTGGTCTTTAAAAGAAAGATTGTTAAAGGCTATGTTATATTTACTTATTCATAGCTCTGAAGTTTCATGATTCCAATACAAATCATTTTTGAATGATCTTTTCCTTGGATTTTCCCAAAGACTCTGTCATTGATGGGTATCTTAATAGTGGGATTGGAATTTGATAAGAAAAAGCTATGAAATACTTGTTCAGAAACAACATGACCAGGGTGAAGTGGGCACCAATATCACAACCTTACTGCATTTAAATAGAGTATTTGGTTCCTTCAAAAAAATAAAAAAATTGGAGAAAGTCAATAAAAATACAGAATTTATCCTGAAGATATGAATTAATCAGAACACAGCAGAAATAAATACATGACTAGACATAGGTCATAGGTCACTGAAATGACCTGAGACATCTTCCTCTGCTACATTCACTAAGGAGAAGGGTTTAACTGAAAACTGCTTTATATAAAAATACACATTCAACCACACATGCATACAGAGAGCTAGGTTTGTGGTTTGCCTTTGCTAAACAAACTCTTTCTTACATAATGCTAATTAAATGTCATGAAGACAGTAAGACTATTATTAGCATTTCAAAACTATTCACAGTTGCTTCAAATATTTTTACCACTCAGAAAAGCAAATCTCCTAAGTGTCTCTTGCCTAGGGCTCCTTGCATTGCCCACCCCCTAACCTTTTTGGAAGGGTGTATAAAAGTTGCTTGATTCACAAGCTTAAGTTGTAGTCGGACTGCCATGGAGAAATACAGAATATTTTAAGGTTTAACATTTGCCTTTCAGCCTACTGGGTAAAACACAGAGTGCAGAAGCAGCTATTAACAAGAAACAGGCTAAAATTCTTATAGCAGAGTAGGTTATTTATTCTGCTATTTTATCATTGAGATCATTAAAGAATGGTACTGGGCCACTGCATCACACACTTTAAAATAATTAATTGTATGTTAGGTAAATTTCATCTCTATAAAAAAGAAAGAAAGATAGTGAGTGGGGTGAACTAATGGCTTTATAAATTACATGAGGAAAAAGCATTTTGGAATGTTGCTTTGTGACAGCACAATAGTGGGTGTGAGCACCCAACAGGAGCTGGAATAACAAAATTGTTATAAGCACAGTATGTTCCCGGGTCAGCCTGGAGTTTCCAGGAACCTTTAGAATAAAGGTAAAGTGGGCTAAGACAGGGAAGTCAATAGCTGCCTTAGGAAGTGTGGTCAAGAGGAACCTGGAGAAAATGAACTGGTTATCAAGGTCAACAATTTCAAGCTGTTTTATGGAAAATCTGTGTACTTCAGTCCAATTCTGAAGTGGCTTAGAATGTTTAGGCTTGCTTTCAGTTCTAGGTATCTAAATTCAATTTCTCTGTAACTCAAACCCAGAGAAGGCTCTCTGAAGGACCAAGAAACAGTGTAGAATCTCCTTAATGGATCTTGAATTAACAAGAATGATTCTTTGGAAATAGCCCCTAAGAAGTGGAAGGCTAGTATGACCAGCAATGTTAGGTGGCTCGATTACAACTCACAGAAGCAAATCACAGGGTGGTAAGGAGGTCCAAGAAGCAGTGGCTTCTCAATCCATCAGCAAGGTTTCACAAACAGTATTCTTGAGCAAGATTTCTACTTGGAAGCATTATCCTTTTTAAATGTCACAGTTGGTATGTCAGCTGCCATATATGGAGTGAGTTTAAAACTATTTTAGTATTAGAAAACTCAGGTTGCTTCCAAACTAGGAATATTTACTATTAACTGACTAGGAGAGAAAAACAACACACAATAACACACAGTTGGCCCCAGGCAACTGGGGCTTCCACATCTGTGGAGTCAACTAACCTCAAATATATATATTTTTAAATTGTGTATATTTCTTAAGCATACAGGTTTTGTCATTATTCTCTAAAAAACTATTTACATAGCACTTAGACTGTAATAGGTATTAGAAGTAATCTAGAGATTGAAAACATATAGCCTTCCATATATATGCAGGTAGGTCATACGCAAATACTACACTATCTTATATCAAGAACTTGAGAATACAAGAATTTTGCTATCTGTGGAACCAATCCCCTACAGATACCTAGGGATGACTGCATAGAGTATCTCCACCCTGCTCTACTACTTCTTCAGTAATTCTTTCTGAAAGGTCACCTCCTAAGTATACAAAATACAAGAAACAAGAGTAAATTAGCCAAATCATTTGTAGATTTTATTTATTCATATAGTACATTCTCTTTGGGGGAAATTATCAAAATATTTTTAAAACCTGTTATAATAAAATTCTTAATTTCTCTCTACTCTTCCCAGTAAATTACTTTTATTATTTGATAAATGAATAAAGCAGAATGACCTAACCCAACTATGTAAGAAGAGATACTTTCCCGACATAGGTGGAAGCCCATGTTCAAAAAAACTTTCCAGTTTACCCGTGAGCTTGGGAGAAGCTACATTACCTGTAATATGGACTCCTCAACTACCAAACTCATTATATCCCATACCTAATCCCTCTGTCTAAATCTTTCACAGCATAAATAACATTTCTACCAATTCCTCACACTTACTGGGACTTGCTTACTTACACCTGTCTCATGTCTTCCCTGGCTTTTCCTGGTCCTCCCCAGCACTCTGCTTCCATGTCCTCCTACCTGCTTCGAGGAAGGAAGTTTTTCTTTGATCATTTTCAACTCACAGAAAACCTGACCCAGGATTCCCCAGGTGCCCAACTGCGGATGCATGGAATTGCTTCCATGCTTTCTACAATTCTCTCTCATATAGTTTGACTTCCCAGACTCATGAAAAGACTGGAGGAGAGAACACAAGGGGTTACAAAAGCCAAACTTCTTTCCAACCTCCAGCCCTCTCCTTTCTGTGGTTCTCCAACATCATTTAGCATTGAGTGGTTATCACAGTGACCACAGTCTCCTAGTTGTCATGCCCTTAACAACACTAACATGTTCTTTGTCATCATCAAAATCTAAAACCATTCAACTCCCTTCCGCATCACTCACACCATCTGTTCACAGGAAATTGCCTTAATGGACTCTTCTTGGCCCAAGATTATGCATTTCAATGTGGTCTTCTTGAATATCTCTATGTCTTTTTCTTTTTCCCCTTCTAACCAAACTCTCCATATTTGCTTTTTCCACTCCTAATGCTTTGTGCTAAAACAGAGGAACATACAAAACCATATATATTTGAACTTTAAATATCTTTAAGCTGACTCTTATCTTTACACAGCAACTATTTCTAATGCACTTCTGGGCTTATTCTCACAGAACACTTTTTTTTTTTAATCTCCTTCTTTAACAGACTCCCAATTCCACTTACCCCATTTTCAAACAACAATGCATTTTTATAATGACTGATATGACACCTTTCACCAATTCTCATCTCTTTCCCGAAGTTCTTCTTGATCTACAAATCACAAAGGAAAATATAGCCCACCTCTCTTAAGCTAACCCACATACTTGTCTCAGGAGCTTATCTCTTCCCACCATCTGAACACATCTGTTATTCTACTGAACAAGCCTATCTTCTCCTCAGCACTGTCAATCTCTTCCTTTCAACTGGCTCTGTATGATCTGCCTTTAAATATTTAGGTTCTTCTTTCCCCTTATATTAAAGCAACGCCTTCTAAAATCTACCACCCATCTAGTTAGCATGTTGTTTTTCTTTTCAACTTTGTTGTTAAATGTCTTAACACTACGTAGTCAGTGATTGCTGTATATATATTCTTGACTTTTCCTCATGAATCCTAAAAAGATGGGCCTCCATTCTGTACCTTTCTAAGGAAGTTACATTTTTAAAGATCACCAGAGATCTAACCAAATCTGAAGGCCTCTTCTTAGCTCTTATGCTTTCCAATTTTTAATTCATAGTGCTTCTCCACTCCAACGTCTACTGTACTAGTAAGCCAACTTAATTGCACTGGCCAGCAATGGCATACTATTGGAATTACTTTCTAACTGGTCCTAATTGCAATCAAATCTGTTACCCAATTGCTCTTTTTTTTTTTGAGACAGAGTCTTGCTCTGTCACCAGGTTGGAGTGCAGTGGCACAATCGCAGCTCACTGCAATCTCCGCCTCCCGGGTTCAAGCAATTCTCCTGCCTCAGCCTCCCGAGTAGCTGGGACTACAGGTGCACGCCACCACATCCAGCTCATTTTTGTATTTTTAGTAGAGACAGGGTTTCACCATGTTGGCCAGGCTGGTCTCAATCTCTTGACCTTGTGATCCGCCCACCTTGGCCTCCCAAAGTGCTGGGGTGCTGGGATTACAGGCTTGAGCCACCGCACCCAGCCCAACTGCTCTTCTTAAAATGCTACAATCAAGCTACAGTTTTGCCAAGAACCTACAGTTCTCTACCACTGACCATATTTGCATCAAGACTAAACTCTTCTAGTTTTCAAGGCGTTAAGCACACTTATCCAAGCTTACCTATACCCAAATACCTCAGCTAATTTTCTTACTGCCCTACCCCAACCCCTATAGGTCACTGTAAGACTTCAAAGCAACTGCCATTTGTTCCTTTCTCTGTCTTTCTGAGGCAATGCCTCTGTGAGAGCACCTCATTATGGACCTGTGTCACAGCAGACTAGAGCTCTGGCAGTCTTCACAGTACTTGGACCACCACACAAACAGGAGTCATATCAGTGGAAATACGTACAGACAAAATGCATTAAAGTTGTTTTCTTTAAAGGAATACCTACATAGAAGGGTTTACTTAATTCCTAGGATACTAAGAGTAAGAGACATGAGCTCACGCACACGTAAAATAATGAATGTATGTCTTTTCTATTAAGATTTTTTTCACCCCCCCTCCAAATTATCATACATTTAAAAATTTGAAATATAAGTATTCAATACCCTTTGTTGCCACTATCAGAGCAGTTACTGAGAGATGATAAATAATAAAATGACTCTGGACTGCTCTGGTGGTTCCTGTGATTAAAATATTATCAAGAGCTAACCTTGATAGAAATAATGTGAAATGTAATTGTCACTAGAATTATCCTTGATGATAGGGTCTGTATTTTATTCAACCTTATGTCCCGCAAGCTCTAGTTAAAGTCACTATATAGCATAGGTACTCAAATATTTAATTAATGCTTTGTCGAAATAAGGGGAGAATATACAAAAGTAATGTGAAAAACCAAAACTCAATAACAGAATGAAAAGAAAAGCATTATTAGTCAGAAAAATATTTTCTAATGGAATCTTAGAGAAAATAAAGAGGCATTTATCATTCATCATACAACTAAAATCATTCAGTACAGGACTCTATTCCCTACAGTGGCACTAAAAACATTTCAAGGCAGCTGTTCTGTTTTTTTCCCCTCACAGGAGAAGGATATTACCAAATCCTTGGCAAATCTATAATATGGATCTTCTCCCCAGAGAAAAAATGGACTATGTACATGCACATAAACCCACAGTTTTGTATGTACGCTCAAAAGTCTGGGCTCCAGGTTAAAAATTCCTATCTTAAGGGAAAAGCTAGTCACTTTATAAAGGTTAAGGATGTAAAAGTATATTAAGTTTTCATTGCACATGATGCATCATAAAGGAATTTAACAACAACCAAAAAACCTGAAGCTTTTAAAGAATCATTCTTCTCCCATTTTGGTTTCAATTTGCTTGTTAATGTGAAGTAGTGGCTGCTTTTATGTGATGTATAATTTCTTCTGTGCGTTAGTGTAAAATTAATTATGACTATGATTTTAAGACTTCAACTTTTTGAAATATATATTTAAAATATTAGGTAAGCAAGGCTTACAAAGAAGGTCTAGGAATTACAAAGTGGGTCAAAGATCTCGTTTAGCCATTCTATGCAAAAATTCAGTAGTAAAAGTCTAATTGCCCAAAAAGTATGGGTGGGAAGGAGAAGCAGGCAGGGAGATGGTTTTGGGATTTTATTTAGGGCTCTGGCAAATCTGGGCAAATTACCTGATGAATGAATGAGAAAGGAAAGAAGCCAGGTACGTCTCTCAACACCAAGGAGCAAATGGAGCTAAGCACTTGCTATGGCTTTGTAAGAAGATCCAGACAATGAAAGTCTAATGCTGAAGGCTGGAGAAAGCTTTGAGCTAGTAAGCATCATTACAAGGAGCCAGCTTTTGCTGTAATAACAAGGCCCAGGAACCTCAGCCCCACAGGAGACATAAGTGAAGTCTTGGCCATTACAGCAAAAATGAAAACCATAATTAAATTAAGCTATAGTAAAAGGCTGATGTTTAATAAGTCTACAGTATTTTATTGGTATTTTTCAAATTGGCAATGTTCTTGTAATGTCTTAAAATCACTTCTAGATAAAAATTAGAGATTGATATTTATGCAGAATTTTACAAAAATAACTTAAATGGCTAGACAATTACCTGCTTCTACAGCCTCAGTTAACCAAATCTAAGGATATCTAAGAATAGATTTTTGTTTACTTCACTGTACCTTGGGATAAAGTCATTTAATTTGTCACATTATATAGAAAGTAATCCAATTTTATATAGAGGTAACCTTGAAAACTCCAACTTCAACATGACTTTAAGTACCATCTCCTAATGACATATTCTATTATTATTATTTTCAATCTCTAGGCTTCTTATTTTGTATTCACATTATCCCCTTCCATACTTTAACAAATTAAAGCATACCTTTTATCACAATGGTTAAAATCTCAAGAGGAGGTGTGACTTTCCCTTTCTTCCCAGATGCTTCATTTAGGCAGAGTATGGTCATGTTTTCTGAATCAGCTTTTGTTCACTGCTCAGAACCAAGTCCAGTTTCTTTTCTTTTATTATCAGTTTAAAACTATTTCAAGAAATGTGTTTTCAGAAATATCACTTCACATTATGTCCTAATAAAGTACTCCACTATTCTCTTGATTAAAATTACCTGTTACAATTTAGGTGGCCTAATTTTAGAGGACACCCAATCTCTTCTGCCTTAGTCTCATTCTGGTCAGGTACTTATATTATCTTATTATCACATTTTAATTATTAAGCAATGAAATTTCCAAGACAATATCCCACAGAATTACTGTTTGTTCAGTAACAATGTTACACTACTATAGTTGCTTCTCACATACATACTCCATATTCAAGTTTCAGATAAGTCAACTGAAGTTCTGTTTTTGAGGCATTTCCTGGTATACTAGGCAGTGCATTAGAAAAGAGATTATATTGCATTTAGGCTATAATGATTATCTTTCAACCATCTATGCATAATTAACAACCATTCAAAAAGAAAGTGCAAAAGTGCAAAAGAGAGAACAAAACAGTTTCTACACACATAATGCATAATATAGGACATAAATCTAGACAACTAAAACAATCGCCAACAATTTCCTTCTGAGCATTAAATGACACCACCAATTTTGTTTTATATGTATTCTTTCTTCTCAAATATTCAAAGAATACAATAGACATTATCTTGTTAATTTTCAAAATTTTCAGATTAGGATATTATCATTTTTCTCACAAACTAGAAAACAAGGAACTACCATTACCTTTGTATAATTTTTCAGTAACAGAGCCAAAATAAGAACAATTCTAGCTAATCTCACCTGGGAGCTTAGTACTACAAGTTTATTATTATGAGTTAGAAATAGTATCACTCATGAGACACAATGCCAAAATTATTACACTAATAAATTATGTTAAAGGCCTAATGAAGAAATACTTCAGCAACTAGGAGGTAACACGCTAGCTGTAGGCATGAGGAACGTTTATATTGTCTCTTTGGGTGTATACATTAAATGCAAAATCAGAAAGGAATCATGCAAAAATCCAGTTGCCCATGCAAGCTCCCCAGAGTCTAATCCTCTCCTCTCAGTTCTGTTGTCAGGCCACAGTAGTGTGGAGACTTGTAGGCTGCTGTCCTTGTTGTAATGAATGGGAAGAGGCTGACAGTGGCATGGTCGAAACCTTCACCTCTTCTTCCCCTGTGGAAAAGTCAGTCATGTTCTAGTTATGGGTGACTAGATTTGTTAACAGTCCCTTTAAAAATGATTTCAATATTTGGAATACTGTTACATATATAAAATACATGCTTAATGTTTGGAATCCAGGTGTGAAACAAGACATGAATTTTAAAATATAAACGTATTAAGTACCTGGAAAGTAGTTATATTCTAAATATATCCTTAGTAATATTGTGTCAGCGATAAGAATATAATAGATTTAGATTATAAATATACTACCCCCCCCCAAAAAAAAAAAATAAGGAAAGCCATTCTTTTCCAAGCCAATTGGACCTCTTATAGATACTCCTAGTAAATGGTAAATATTAATATTATTTTGTGGAAAAACTTAAACCTTGATTTACAGAAGTGAAAACTGATTTTTAAAAGAGGAAAATTATAAATCCATGTTTTTGCATAAATTATGTACTAGAAAAAAATGAAATAACAGATATAAATATTAACTTAATTAACATATAGCATCTGAAAATTTAAGTTTATCTTTGAAGTAATTGAAAAATAGTAAAATGTTAACAATAAAATGATCCAATTGACTGAAAATGAGATGACTACTTCTGGGTCAAAGAACTATAGATGAGTGAGATCAGTTCTCCTGATTATAATTGATAATTATTTGACTACAAGTGACTTGTTTCACACATGACTCAATTCAATCAAGTCACTGTTAAAACAGTTCATATAGAAACAAAGAAAATTTAAAGAAAAATGCCCTCTCATAAGTTTGAATTAACAAAAACATAAAAAAAAAAATCCAATCCTAAACAGTTTCAAATATTTTTGAGGTATATCTTGAAACAATAATGCTTACTGACCTATGTTTTCCAAATAATTTTTAACATCATAGAATAAAAACAACTTGGCAGGTTTTTTCTGAAAAACAAATCTGCAAAATTACACTTGAAATGATAACTGACAAAGCAGAAAAAGAGTCTGTCAATCCACAGAACAGGTGATTTTGTAGTTTTTCAGTAAATTGGCAAAGATTCTTATAAATCCCAAGTACATAGCAATGAGGCTGTGTAAAGCAAATCTTAGACTTGAGTTCTTGGTGAGAAAATTATATTAATGCGGAATAAAAAAGAGACTGATTTCTGTCAAGTCGATAAACTTTATTCTATTTTGTAACAATAGGCCATATACCCCTCAGCTGGGCCAATATGACTCATGAATGGACTGTTGATAAAAAAGGGACCTGCAAGTGTGTGAGAGCAAAAACCAACTTGAAGAAAGCCAAGTTAAAGCACATGCCAGTGATCTTCATTTCTGAAGGAGGGCATCATCGATGTAGTGCAAAAATATTTCCATTATCAAATTTGAGATCTAAGTTCTTATCCTAATTCCACTACTAATTGAATGTGTGACCTTCAACAAATTATTTAAGCTTTCTGGAACACAGCTTTGCTATTCCTAAAATGAAGAAATTGGACAAAATAAAGTCACTTTTTAGGACAAGGTAATAGAGAGAAGGCACATTGTTCCAATAATAATAAACAGAAAAAATCTGAATGAATTTACTACAACTGCCCATGAATCAAAATTTCCCCCAGGAATATTTCTTTCAAAAATCTTTCTAAACCTAGTAAACCAAAAGCTGCTAAAAAGATTTAACCTAACTAAGGAAATAACTACTAATTTTAAACACAAAAAAAGTTCTCAATTAGACTAAAAAAATAAAAATAAAAAGTAAAAAGGAAGCTGCATTTCTGTCAACCCTCTGGCAACTGTTCCTCCCATGATAGGTTTCAGATATATCGATCTTTAATAATTAACTGAACAAACAAAAATAAAATTTTAAGTTACAAATATATGGTAAGTAGACATTGTATTTGTATGACGTGTAGATGACCAGGTCCCACTGAAACAAGTATGCACTCTCTCCATTACTGAAGCACTTAGTGACAGCTGCCCTGTATAAGGTATCAATGATAACTGCTAGATGATACAAAGTTGAATCCTTGTCACTAGTTCAACTCAGGTGCAAGTGAGTTACAACTGGGGTAGAGGTTGTAGATATTACCTAGGTATTAAATTGCTTCAAATTAGACATAGTTAAGATGTAAATAGTTTTCCAAATTATCACTTTCTGTCATTTCTAATAGTTACTAAAAATCTTCTGGCTACAATTACACAACTATTCTGCTCTGAAGCTCAGCACATTCAGTTTCCTGAGGTATCTAACAAATATTTATAATCCATGAGAGGCTTTGAGTGTGTGAGACTCTTGATAAAAATTTTGGCACATTAAAACTAAAATTTCTCTAGTCATCAGAGCCTTAAAAATAACCTAATACTTCCTTTTGGCCGGAACTGCCATCTTCCAGTAACTCGCCAAAATGACAAACACAAAGGGAAAGAGGAGAGGCACTCGATACATGTTCTCTAGGCCTTTTAGAAAACATGGAGTTGTTCCTTTGGCCACGTATATGCGAATCTATAAGAAAGGTGATGTTGTAGACATCAAGGGAATGGGTACTGTTCACAAAGGAATGCCCCACAGGTGTTATCATGGAAAAACTGGAAGAGTCTACAATGTTACCCAGCATGCTGTTGGCATTGTTGTAAACAAACAAGTTAAGGGCAAGGTTCTTGCCAAGAGAATTAATGTGCGTATTGAGCACATCAAGCACTCTAAGAGCCGAGATAGCTTCCTAAAACGTGCGAAGGAAAATGATCAGAAAAAGAAGGAAGCCAAAGAGAGAGGTACCTGGGTCCAACTGAAGCAACAGCCTGCTCCACCCAGAGAAGCACACTGTGTGAGAGCCAATGGGAAGGAGCCTGAGCTGCCGGAACCTATTCCCTATGAATTCATGGCATAATAGGTGTTTAAAAAAAAAGACCTCTGGACTATAAAAAAAATAAAATAAAAATAACCTAATAATAAGCTTAACCATAAGTCACCAATCAAATACCAAGCAAGTCTGCAGAGCCCGAAATTGAAAATCCAAAACTCTCCCCACCCTCTACCAAATAGAACAATGATTCAGAACCTAAAGTTGGTGACTACATTTTTAGTATCTCCGAAAAAAAAAAAAAAAGTTTTAATACTCTATGGTTGAGTATACGGTAAAATTTTTAGAAATCCAAACAAACCCACAAAGATAGGACCATGATTTAATGCCACATTTTTTCATAAACCATCTACTTCAGATGAAGATTTTAAATTAGTAATACAATGACAACTAAACTCACAAATCAGCGATTTCTCATTACCAGTGTGGCATTCCCAGAATAACTACTAGTTTGAAATATATGGGTTAAAACTTCTCTTCAGTGCTAAGGGATAATACGATGACTATGAAATTGGAAGAAAATCAAAAGTTGTTATGTAATAAGTCAAATAAAAGCAGAAAAAGAAGATAGCTAATAACTAGAATCCCACAAAGGCATCCTACTTCATATCATACCAAGTCCATGCCATTTTGCCTCATTGTCAGAGTTTCTCATCTTCTCATTCATTATATCTATACAATTGAAGAAGCACCTCCTGTTATAGGAGGTAGCTGTATTGCTTCTCAATGTAATGGCATACTAATTCCTGCCTCTGTGCCTTTATTCAGGAGGTTTCCATCAACATAATGGGGCTTTTCTCTTCCCCTAGGAAGAGAAAATAAAGGCTGCAACCCAAATCTAAGATACGATAGTAGGGATCAATTCCTACTTCTTCAATGAAGCTTCCCCAAGAATTACAGGCTACATTGACATTTCTCAGATTCCAGTACCATACATATAGTACATACATAATTTTAGTCTCTTCAACTATACAGCAAAGTATGTGGAAATCGTATCCATATCTTAAACTTCTTTAATATGTCCCACATGGCCTAGTTCATTGATGGGCAAACAGAACCCACATATTCACTGTAATTGGCTTAATTTTTTAATGTTTTGATGATTTGGGGGGAGTGAACTTTAACTTTTAATGAACGCTATAATCAATTATGAGATACACTACTAGTAATTAAAATGACACATTTCTAAATGATTAAAGCAAAGTAAAATGAAAGAAAATTACATTCTAATATGCTCTCTTGAATGGAAGGAAATAAAAGGAGTATTTGGAACTGAATACACTGTTTCACAAGTAAGTATCATGTAGAACAAGAGGACTGAAAAATGTCACTCTGGGTCACCTACTAACTACCTTAGTTAAATGAACAAATATGAGTCCCATCATTGTGCAAGTCACTGCATTAGGTGCTACCAGGCTTATGTAAATCAACTTCACTGTATCAGCGGTTAACTTCACTATGTCAACAGCCACAAACTATACTCTCTTAACCTAGCTACTTGTCTAGAACATGAAATGTTGTTCATCCCAAAGGGAATACAGATAAAGAACTTTGAGAGATCTATGTAAATTCATCTATCAGCCTTGCTAAAAATAAGAGAGTGAACGCCTTGCTGCTGGTAAAAGCATCCTATTAAGATAATACTGTGCCATGCCATACCTTAAAGATTATGACAAGGGATAACAATAAATTGAATGAATTATGTGAAGAACTATTCTAACAGAGGGAGAAACTATTATATTCTACTTGAGAGAATCATGATTTTATTTCACTTTTAAACATCATCTCTAAGTCAAAGTTAAATGAGAATACTATTAACAAGATACTTCATCTAAAAAATGTTATATAGAATCTTAAAACCCAAAAGTTCTGAAACCTTCAAGGGTAGCAGTACAAAACCAGAAGTATTTTGGCATCAAACTTATATTACATATACTTCATATTTTTCCCCAGAAATAAAAACATGGTAGATCAAATGGATCTGGCTTGAACAATTTCTCTTTCACAAAAGGTGCATGTCTGTGACATATGATATGCTTGTAAAACATTAATCATCAGAGTTCTCAAGTACTTTATTTATAGCTCAGTCTTGATGTGTGTATATGTGTGTATCAGTCAAAATAAGTAACTGCCAAAAGTAGGTAGAGAGTGGCTTTATCCCTCTTGCTCTCATTAATTATCATTTAAAAAAATCTTTTTTAACCATTTTACTTTAGAATCTAAAAATCATAATTTTCACCATGGTGTTAGACTTTATAGCACCATATTTTCAGAGACCACTTTCTTCTTTTTCTTTTTTCTTTTATATACCATATGAAAGTCTGGTAATTCTATTAAGTAAAATGCTTCCAAACAACTAAGTATAATACTCCACCATCCTTATAAAGCTCAATATTACAAGGCATCCATCTAATGAAAATCATATTTTAGATGATAAAGACTAATCTTTCATAGAAATTTCCAAGACATTAGTACTCTGTTATTCAACAGTTTCTTCCCTATCCGCCCAACAACCTGAAAATATGAGTTATTCAAAAATTCTCAAAGGCTTTAAATGAACCTACCTGCTACAGGGATCCCTCCCAGACCTGTGTTGTGCTGTGGCGGGAGATTCAAGTCCAAGAAATTACTATTTGAGGTGGGGTTTGCTGTGTGGTTCAAGTGCATGATGCTATTGCGTGGAAAGGCCATCCAAGGATAGCGGGCTGCCTGGCCTGGAAAACTGAATGAATTATAAACTGCTCGGTGCTGCTGAAATTGAGGAAACCTCTGGGGCAAGACTGAAAAGGTACTATTGAGAGAATTGGCATTTGTAGGTGCAGCAGGATGCAGAAATCCAGAGCCTGAACCTTTGGCGGTTGTAGTGTGTGAAGAGGAGTTCTGAAGAGATGTGGGCGAAAGGGAAGGTTGGTCTTGAACGGACAGTTCCTTCTCAATCAGGTCTGCTAAGGCTTTTCGAGTGACATCGAAGGGATCAAAACCCAAGTCATCCTCTGGTTGTTTAGAAGAACCAAAGCCAAAAGCTGCTTGCCAGTCTGTAGAGGATGATACCGGGATTGTTTCTGTTGGGAAGAAAAATAGTGATGATATCAAACACATAGTTCACTTTCATACTTAGTAAGTATCTACTGCTGCTGGAAAAAAAATAAGTATCCACAATACTGAAAGTTAAACATGTCATATTACAAATTAAGTATGTGCAAAATCTATGTGACTTCTTAGCACATTAAAATCATATAATTACAAAAGGCCTTATGTACTTCCAGCAGTTACTTAATTCTTAAGCTACTAGCTTCAAGAACTGAGAAATATAAACTGATTTTGCTAATCAAAGGAAAAAATTTACTTGACACTCAAATTATACTCTTAACCATTCATAATCAAATCTAACCTAAGTCATTTCCACAAAACAAATATCGTTTAACAGACTTTAATTAGTAAAGTTTATTTGATAAATGTATTTATCAAAGTATGAATAATTTTAAATATATGCTTTCTATACTAAGAAAATAACCAATTTAATTTAAAAGTATTTATATTAATCCTTATAGTCTTTTAGAATTTTCTGCTTCATAGGTGCTGTTGTCAATGTTATTTTTATGCCACCTTTCACATTGAGAGAATTTAGAATGGATAAAAATGGAAATGGCTCAAAAAACACCAAAACATAAATGTTACTACTAAATAACTTACATCTTTGTCAGTTGGGGATGGAAAATCTTCCATGTAACTATAAAAATAAAAATCTAATTAAAAATATAAGTCCTTGCCAGGTGCAGTGGTTCATGCCTATAATCCCAGGACTTTGGAAGCTAGGTAGGAAGATCACTTGAGGCCAGAAGTTCAGGACCAGCCTGGAAAACATAGCAAGATCGTCTCTACAAAAAATTTAAAAATTAACCAGGAGGCTGAGGTGGGAGGATCACTTGAGCCCAAAGTGTGAGGCTGCAGTGAGCTGAGATCATGCTACTGTACTCCAGCCTGTTTGAGAGAGCAAGATTCCCATCTCCAAAAAGTAAAAATAAAAATTCCCAAAGGAATAAGTTTTTACTATTGGGAAAATAATATAACCCTTTACTTCTGGAGAAATCTTTTAACACAGTAATTTCTGGGTCACACGACAATGTATCTAACCACCTAATTCCATGTAGTTTAAATGTTTACATTTTTATTAAAAGAGAAAAGAGAGGCAAAAGATATAAATATATCCACTAATGAGTTTCATGTTAGTCTGTAAACAATATGTTAAGAGCATAATTACTAATAATTGGTGTTACTGTTATATACCTGATGTGAAGAGGCTCTGTGGTTCTGGTGCTGTAGGCCAGTCACTGGATGTCTGTGGGGAGCTGGGGAAAGGAGGAAGCCCACTTGGGATAGGGTTGGGATGGCGAAAATTGTCTGAGAACAACGACTGTGACTCTGTTACTGCCCCTTCAAAAGGGGACCGTGCACTGTGATTGGATGAACTGATGGGGATGACTGGATTGGATTTTGACAAACCAGGTGGTGGTGAAGGCGTATCACTGTTAGATATCTGAATAAAAAGGAAAACAAATAATAACTACATGTTTATACATTTTAATAAGGCACAATTAAAAGGTCTGCAACTAACTATATTAGAATAGTGCTTTGGAAACTACTTGAAGACTTTTTAACAAAAGCATGGAGTTTCAGAGAATCAATTAAATCATTAAATTACATATATACTCTGTAAAAAAAAACTAATCTCCCTGAAAAGACTAAACGAGTCTCCTCTCTTTTCATAACTTTCTCTCAGTTTACAAAGAAAATAGTATTTCTCATTCTGGGATTTTACTATAGTATTTTGCTCAAGAATGAAAACTTTCCAGTGGCCAAACACAAATTATTAGAAATACATGGACCGGTGATAAGAGAGTAACTGACTGTAATGACTATATCCTTTGCATGCTAAGTAATTATCAACATTATAGTTTTCAAGAAAATCAGAGGAAGAGCTAATTAAGTTGTTTCCAAACACATCATTAAAAAGTTTTATATAATAAACTTTTTGTATGATTCTTAGGTATTTAATTCAGAGGAAATTGAAAGACTTGAGTGATACTGATATAACACTCCTTCTTCCATTTACCTATTTATATGAACAAAATGTCTCAACACTTACATCTTAGAAAAATAAAAAAAGTGACTAGATTGCTGCTGAAACTTTGCACTGTTACCAAAAAGTAACATTCATCCAGTGATACATAAAAGCTAATTTTAAAATGGTCCTATTCTTCATTAAAAGATGAATTACCAATACAATTTTACTATATATAATTATATATATAGTAAACATAAATATAACAATTATGCTTCATGGTTTTTAAAATCAAAATCTACATTTATGTATGTTGTCACCTCAATATTACTAATAAAATTCAGAAGACAAAAATTGGCATTTGAAGTCTGTGACCACAAAAACATTTTGATTTCAATTCAAAAATTTTTATGAAAAAAAGTATATGAAAAGCATATACTTCTTTCAAAAAAATTGCATTAAGACAAAACTCCATAATAACAGAAAGAGAAAAATCAGTTCACAGAAAAAAATAATGTAAAACTTCTGATTGTTAAAGGAGAGCATATTTTTAAATGGATGACAGGATAATAAAATATGATTATCATCAAAACATGAGGTATCAAAACATTAAATTTCTCAGACACTAATATTTCTAATATGCTGGAAATTACATCCTTTGCAACTACTTTTAACCTGTAAAAAATTTTAATGTGCAACTAAAATATACAAGGGGATATACAGATTTCTACATTCTTTTACAAAATGTGTCAGTAAAACATTTGGAAAAGCATTATATTTTAGATTTCTAAGTTTTTCACAAACACTGTGGAGGGCTGGCTACTCTTTATGGAAGGGACTAAACTACATTTATTTTACCAATGTAAGAAGATGATAGAAACTCAAGGAGTGAAAAACTAGTAAAAAAAAAAAAAAAAAGTTCCCTGAGCAACAAGACAAGATGACACAAAGCATGCTCTAATGGTCAGCACTCCACTCGGTTTCACAGTGGATTCAACTTTGAACAGCTTATCTGGTTCATCATTTCAAAGTTGATAGTCATTTGGGGGAAATAAGAGGGGAAATTGTTAGGGACAAATACAATGACTGAAACAGAAAATTAAAGTAGACAGCAAGGGAAGTATGTGGTAGGAATACAATTCTAAAAAGCAAGAACTCAGAGGGCATGCTAGCCTGGGACCATTTGGCACAGGGTCAAAAAGACCAATAACATTATCAGACTCTAAAGATAATAGCATCTGGTCATAACGATAATTCTGAGTCATTAAAAAAGGGTTAAACTGTGCTCTATATATTCTGGAGAAAAGGTGATTAATAAAGATGTCCATCAAAAGTGTTCTTAGATTGTGTCAGTAAAGTATTTTTAGAAAATTCACCTGCATGGAATACCTTGCTTTTGGAGTATGGCAAATAAAATCAAGTGATACTGCATCCAAATCTTACCTGCTGGGAATTATCACCATTCCCTATACTGAGAGAATCTGAAGGTTTGTCAATGGGGCTGTAAAAAGAAAACAAATCAAATAAAATCAGACTAAAGTCTTTTTCTGACAATAAAAACAAACTCCTCAAAAGCCAAAAAACAAAAAAACCAGACACTTTACTATCTTAACAAATGTTTATTCAAGTACTGAGAAGTAAAACATTACATTAAATGTGAGGACACAAAGAAGTACAGGTTGAGCATTCTAAATCCAAAAATCCAAAATTTGAACTGCTTCAAAATTTGAAACTTATTGCACACTGATGTGACACTCAAAGAAAATTGGTCACTAGAGCATTTCAGATTTCAGACTGTTAGATTTAGGGTGTTCACCCAGTAAGTATAATGCAAGTATCCCAAGATCCAAAGGAAAAAAAAAAAACCTAAATTTAAAACGCTTCTGGTCCCAGGCATTTTGAATTAGGGATATTCAACCTGTATAAAATCTCTATCCTTAATAAACTTACATTCTAGTTAGCTGCTCCAAAAACAATGGGTAAAATAATAGCTTTTAAGGGGAAAAAAGGTATTGCTTACAATTAATAGATCAAAGGTCCAATCTATCATTTATTTTTGTGCATATAATAAATACGTTCCCTTTTTCAGTTTTTGAAATAATACTGACATTTTTCTAGGTGCTTGACAGAGGGCATAAAAGTTACTGAAATATTCTCTTATAGATTTTTAAGAGCAATATATTTAATATTTCTATATACTAATCATAACCCTAGAGAAGGCATGTGAAATGAGACAAATGTAACACATTTGTGCAAACTACTGATTCAAACAAAAACATTAATATTTTATTTTCATATAGAGAAAACGTAGTATCATGGTAAAATAAAAGAATCACCGACATCTAATCCATTTTATCTTATCTGACTTAAAGACAAAATAAAATCTCTATAAGCACTGCAAAAGTGTACTGACATCATTCCTATAACTAACTTTATTTTACTTAGCACATGAACAAAAATAGTCATGTGTTTCTTAATGATGGGATACATTTTGAAACTTGTTGGTAGGTGATTTTGTCATTGTGGAAACATTAAAGTGTGTACTTACATAAACCTATATGGCATGGTCTACTACACATTGAGGCTATATAGTGCCTAGAGCTCCTAGGCTGCAAACCTGTATAGCATGTTACTGTTTTGAATACTGCAGGCAAATGTAACCTAAGGGTAAGCATTTGTGTATCTAAATATATCTAAAAATAGAAAAGGCACAGTAAAAAAGTTGGACCACTGTTGTATATGTGGTCCATCCATTATTGACCAAAATAACACATTGTTATGCAGTACATGACTGTACCATTACTCAAATGTGTTGTTCTGATACGTGTAAGGAAAAAAATTAAGATTTCAAATTTCTTAAAATTATTTTATTTCCTGAAAATATATACAAAGTCCCCTTTCAAAAAGGTAACTTACTGGTACCACATTTAATGTTCTAAAAAAAAAAAAAAGTCTAACAAGGGCTGGTACCCAATCTGAATCCCAGGTGCATCTTCTGCAGACATTGCCATTTGTTCTTGATTATAAGCAAACAGATTTGAAATTTACTTGAAGAGCATTTTTACTTATTATTCATAAAATAGCAATAAATCAATGAATATTAAGTAATGTGGGTAATGCAAACCATTTAAAGACATAGCCCTGAATTCACTAAGTTTAGAAATATTTGGGGAAAGGAAATAAGTGCACAAAGAAGACAAGTGCAAACAAACATCAGCCAGTGCTTTTATCAAATGAACTGTTTAAACAAAAAAAAAAAATGCCATAAATCTTTAGAAGAAAGCAAAGCTACCACTAGTGGGACAATTAGGGAAAGTTTCCTAGGGGAGTTCAAATTTAAGTAGGCCCTTAAAAAGATTTACCCATCAGGAGAAGAAAGAGGGAAAGAGGAAAGAACAGCATTAAGGGTAGAAATACCTTCTGTGTCAAGGGTCACAAAGTCAGAGACAGTGTTGGGAGAGCTAAGTAATTAGTTTAGCTAACATATGGGATAGCTGAAATAATAATGAAAGGTAAGGACAGAAAGATAAACATAGGTTACACTCCAGAGGCCACAGAAATGACCTAAATAAGCAGTGTTTTAGAAAGATTAATTTGGTGGTGGAACTTAATAGTGATAATCTGAGATAAACTTGCACTATACTTACACTATGTAACAAGGGCTTCAAGTTGAAAGAAAGAGGTAGTAACAGAAACAAAAGGCTAAAAGAAAGATATCACAAAGGACAACTTCTAGTGTTTGGATCTTGATTCACCTTCCTAGCCACCACTCAATTTAGCGTTTCCATAAAAGCACTAAATAATAATTTTCAAAATAAATGTCTTGCTACTGGCTGGTGCAACAAATGAAAATATTACATAAAAAATAAATCTTAAGGATGTTTCTGGATTACAACTAATTAGAATAACTTTTAGCACCTTCTTCACCATTCTAACTGCAATTTCCCTAAGCACTGATTCATAATACTTTATGCTTTACCTGGGAAAGTTTTATCAAAGATGTTTAAAAATTTGTAGATTGTGTTATCTAGCCAATAATAGCTGCTGAAAAATCAGGATTATGGCAAGAGACCAGTAAATTTATGTTCTACTCAGTTTTACTATATTCTTCTCAATTTATTTTAACAATAACTAACAAAGGAAAAATAAATGAAAAGCTTTAAGAATAAAGATATAACTAGAAATTATTTTATTTTCTATGTGGGCTATAACAAGTCATTATAGTTACACCTGATATTATATTAATAAGTGGAGCTAACAGTGGAAAACAAGAAAGATAGAAGAATCCATGAAAATACATGGGTAACCCCAATAGAAAGAAAAAGTACATTTACAATTTCCAATTAATGTGAACTCCTTGTTTCTCTAACGGCCAGAGAGAAAAGAGTTATCTCGAGACTACTACCAAAAGATCAGAGTCCTCACAACTCCACTGCCATCAGATGTAGAACTTCCTTCCCCATTAAGCACTGTGTTTGCTTAAGCTGTGGTCATATTAACAAATTTGTTTTACTTCCAGCATCCACCCACCCATCATCATGATAAGAGGGTAACTGCTAAGAAAATGAAAACTTTAATAAATACCATATTTACTCATGAAGAGACACCTATTCCATGAAACAAACTATACCCTGGTCAAAATTGTCAGGTTCAAATGTTATCAGATATAAGAATTTGGGTACACTAAGATAAATTGCACAGGGCTTTTTATTTAAAAGCAAAAATAAACCTACAGGTTTTCTTAAATCAACCTCTTTCTACCACACTAAACAAAATTACTTGCATTTTGAAGCTGAAATTCTGTTGTTCATTCCATTTTCAATGGGAGAGGTTCTTTTAAAAAACCGTTTGTACAGCATAAAGCTGTGGAGCAGAAGCTGCCTAGTAAGGGAAAAAGCTAGAAAGGTGTTTGAAAATTGAAGATATCAATTCTGTCCTCAAGGACATAATCAAAGAAAAGCAGATAATATAAACTGAACTAAAACAAAGACTGATAGAGGCAAAAACAGAGGTTGCCAATCATCTCTGAAAAGGCTAGGAGTTGAGAAGACTGACTACACCTATACTTCACTCAATACACTGAAACTGTCATGGTACTAAGAGAAAGAGAAATCAAGATGCTCAAGTCCATAAATACCATGCAGTTCCCTGAAAAGTACTAGATTCAAGTGGGACTAAGAAGTACTAATAGAAAATATGGCCTCATAACACACTCATAACACAATCAAAGTATTCCAAGAAGGCAATGTTGTATGTATAAATCCCTGTAGATAAAAATTCAAAAACATAAATTTTCATACAAGTGATCTCACTAATTTTTTTTTTTTTAAGTTTCAGTCCCAAATTGTTTTAAAAAACCATGGTGAAACTACACCTTTTTTTTTTTTTTTTTTTTTTTTTGAGACAGTCTCGCTCTGCTGCCCAGGCTGGAGTGCAGTGGCATGATCTCAGCTCACTGCAAACTCCACATCCCGGATGCAAGTGATTCTTGTGCTTCAGCCTCCCAAGTAGCTGGGATTACAGGGGTGTGCCACCATGCCCAGCTAATTTTTGTATTTTTAGTAGAGGCAGGGGTTCGCCATGTTGGCCTAGCTGGTCTCAACCTCCTGGGCTCAAGTGATCCACCAGCCTTGGCCTCCCCAAGTGCTGGGATTCAGGTGTGAGCCACAGCACCTGGCTGAGATTACAGATTTCTTAGGAGCAAATATTTGTAAATTAACCCAAAAGAGTGACAGAGCTTTTAAAAATACATATTATGCACAAAAAATATATACATATTTATTTATTTAAAGTAAAAAGTATATATCCAGACTCCATCACTGGGAATTCTGATTCAATTAATCTAAATTGAGGCATCTGGCATTTGATGATCACTGCAACCGGGAAGAGGAACACAATGAAAAGGCATCAAGATTCCTCAGAGTCTCTCAAATTATTAGATTTCACAAGTAGAAGGAATCATTAAAATCAAATATAAATGCTTTGTTTTACAGATAAAGAAATCAAATCAAAGACCGCCAGCAAACAGGTAGTCACTGACACAGCTGAGTCTCAGTTTGGATCTGTGGATGTTCAGCCAAGTTTTGCTTTCTTCTAACTTGCCCCTAAGGTAATGCTTGAATTTTACTTTCTTTTACTACTTTCGTAATGGTGATGCCAACCAAATTACTAAACATAGTCTCATGATGGCTTTAAAAAATTTGCAACATAAACCAATTACACAGGAGAAGAATCAAAGAAAAAACATTTTCAAGGATGGGCGTGGACTAAGAAAAATGTTAGCACAATTAGATCTTCTGCTTACCAAATGCAGAAGAAAAATAGTCCAAGTGATTTATTAATTTTTACTTACATTTTAAACATAAGATAAAATTTACATAAGGATAAAAGTCAATATAACAGACATTTCCAAATTTCACTGTCAGGTTACTATCTATACAAAGAAATATTCATTTTGCATCTAAATATTCCTATCTATATTCATTTCAAAGAATCTATCTT